CGTGCAGCAGGATCCATGAGGGGTAACCCCAGCAAGGCCTAGCCCCTTGCGAGGGTCCACGTGTTCACCTTGTTTACTTCACGACCCTGTCAGGGCATCACCGAGAATACCGGACAGGGTGTCGGGCATGTACAAGGTAAACGCCATGGACCCCACCAATGGACAACACCTTACCAAGGTCCAGGCTCTGACGTTGGCATCGCTCCGAACCCTGTACAACCCCCCCACAGGGTGCCTGCAGGGTTAAACCCCCTGCCAAGGGTCCCCCAGGGGTAGCCGAGTGGCCACCGGTGTTGAGTGCTGGTAATAAGTGTAGACTTCTTAGGTTAACCGAAACTCGACCGGCTGGACGTAAGTCGCCGTTTTCACCTTCACAATCGCCTTTTCTCTTTATTATGTACGCGGGTCAACCACGTCCGACACGTAGAACCTTCACCGAACTTGCCAGTTCGGACTCTGACTTTTGGTCCACGAGCGACGCATCGCCATCGTCGTCATAGGGTCTTGTTCCTTTTAGTGTAACGTTCTTCTTTGCAAAAAGAAAAACCAGGTGTGTGATGGAATCGAACCCGCGGTTTATCTCCCACCGTAAGCATGTTCGTCGACACCACCAATGTAAAAAGAGGGAGTGGTCCTCGACAGAGGTTGCGGAGATTTTACACGCTTTTTAGGTCATATATATCCACAGGGAATCTAGTCTAGGCAACCTTTCTTTGATTGTTTGTGTGTTGGGGGGGGTGATGCGCACGGAAACAATCCCTTGCGCTCCGGTAGGACCTGCACACGCAGGGGTCCTTTCCTGTGTAGCCGAAGTCAACCCAGGCCAGCCTGGCACATGATGCAAGACATTTGACGGATGCTTGCCGTGATCTCGATTCCGTCGGCTAAACAAAAGCTGTTGGTTCCTTCCCAGTGTTACGTCAGCAAGTCGTCTTGCCCGAGTGGTCAAGGGGATAGATTAGAAACCTATTGTGATTTCACGCGCAGGTTCGAGTCCTGCAGACGACGATACCCGCTGCAGGGATATATGTTTTACTTGCTTTTACCTTTCGCAAGGAAGGGTCGATGCCTCTCACGGGATGCATCATGTCTTTCTTCCGTTTTTTGTTGTTGTTGTTGTTGTTGTTGTTGCTGTTGTTGTTGTTGTCTTCACATTAATAGCCGTTCCGTTCTCTCTGCCGAGTACCTTCTTCTGTCAGTACTACTCTTACACTTGACGGGGTCGATTCCCGTGGTCACAGGCTAACTTACCCAAAAATAAGGTATACGAAAAACATAATGGACCCGAAAAGGGTCCGCAAGCCAATAGAAGTCAACGACAGATAGTCTAGGCCACTCCGCTCGCCTCTACACGCTCTGCGAGGTGACCCTAGATTGGAAAAAGAAAGAAAGAGAAAAGAAGAGAGCAGATGATGGAGAAAAAAGGGAAAGAGAAGGAGAAAGACACAGACAGACAGAGAAAGACTCACGTGTTAGTGTGTGTACTCGGCGGCAGGATACAATTCTCCGAGATCTCCGAGGGGGTTACGCAGATGAGATAGATATGGGTATGATAGACAAGACTTGGTGCAGCAGGCTTTGCCTCTTGTTGCTCACATCTGTCACTCGTTAAACTCTCTAATAAGCAAGGAACTTGAGTCACTCCTTTGTGCAACACGCTCTCGACAAGAGCCCGCGAGCGTGATAACATAGTACACGCGCCGACACCCCAAACACGATATCGTGGAGTCAGCCGACGTCGGTAGGGAAAGGTTCGGGAGGTAGGCACCGAAATACAAGGACAGCAGCAGGGCGGTTTTTGCTCGCGCTCGTCAAGGAGATCCAGGGAACAGGGTTTGGAATACAAGGGCAGCAGCAGCAGGGCGGTTTTTGCCTGCGCGTGCCAAGGAGATCCAGGGAAAGCATTTGGAACACAACAAGGGCAGCAGCAGCCGGGCGGTTTTTGCCAGCGCGCGTCAAGGAGATCCAGCTACAAAACAATACAGCAGTAGGCAGTAGGAGACAGGAGACAGGAGACACACATTGTGCCGCGTTTTATTTTTTATTTTTTGCGGCGTAATTTGGCGGAGGAAGAGAAGAGATGGCGAGGGAGAAGAGGACATGACGGAGAGGGAATATGGGCATCTATCGGAGAAGAATGATGCACCGGCAAGAGTAATGGCTGCCGGGAGAACGTCTACCTGGGCAGCTGGTGGAGCTGGTCTCGGTACACAACGGGTAAGCATGATGAATGACGGAAATTGTGCGTTGAGCGGTTACAGCAGCAGTCGCAAACCGCCCAAAATCCCGAAAGATTCGGCGAAGGCCGTGAACTGGCTGCGGAGATTGCGGATTTTCCTGGCTAGCGAGGGTTTGGAGCAGACGCTTGAAGACACCTATCCCACTGGCTATGTTCCTGTCATCAGCTGTTTGGATTGCATATATCTGAACCGGGTCCATGGTGCGGCCCTCGTTACGGCACACAAGCGGGCGTGGGGATATCTGTTAGAAGCAACCTGCGGCACGGACATTGAAGAACGGTTGGCTGCTTGCGACTGCGTCCCTGAGGCGTGGAGGGTGATCCGCGAATGGGTTTTGCCTACTTTCGACGCCGAGAAGACATTGCTTGTGCGACGGTTGGAGGCAGTTGAGATGTCCCCTGGCGAGAACCCGAAGCTTTTCTTTGCCAGAGTCGATGGCATTGTCAACATCATGCGAGCTGTCGGCATTGAAAAATCAGAGCGGGAAATCGTCCACATCATTGTTCGCCAGCTTTCGCCCGAGTACGATGTCGAACGCAAGTCTATCCTGGCCGACCCCACCATTCCCCGAGCGAAAGAGGGATGCTACGATAGGGGGTACCCCCTCGGTCACAGGGGGTGTTTTGGCGGACTGGTGTTTGCTGCCTCAACAAATGGAACAAATGCTTCTTGTTTTTTCACACCGCGAGATACACGCCAGGCGGCTGCCTGGGCAGAATTGATTTTCTTGAAATGCAAAAATTGAGAGAATTACGAGCATTTTTACGGACCTTGTCGGGCGACAGCATGTGACCCATGTCACAAAACGTGCCCCCCCTACCGTAGCATCCCTCGAAAGTGGAAAACGTTGTTCGCACGGCATACGCTAACAACGTCGAGATCCAGGAATTGGGCAAATCGCAGGCGATCGGTGGTTTGGGGTGCGGTCATGGCGGCGGCTGTCAGAAGGGGAAACAACGACGGCGGCAGCAGCAGCAGCAGCAACAACAGTGGGTTCATCCACAACCACCACCTGTACACCACCCACCTCCTAATTTCCCGACGTGGGGATCTGGGGGGCTCTATGACTGTGGGCGCAACGCCGTGTACCCGCAAGAGGAGTCAGCTCCGCCGCCAGGCGCTCTGATGGGTGCCGTTCATCAGTGCGTGAGGTGCGGGAGGCATGGACACTCACTCGGCGACTGCAATGCGCCACGACGCTTTGAAGGCCACTGCACTGCCTGCGGTGAGTATGGTCATCGGCGCCGCATGTGTTGCACAACCGGCCGCATGCAACAGCACGTGCATGTCGGTGATGGAGAGGGTCTAAACGCGAGTGGCAACGACACTATGCCGTACCAGCAGCGGAAGCGACGACGCTGGAGGAGGCACAGGCACAGGCATCAGCCGGAGTCGCTCCTCCCCTTTGCAGATGGAGCGGTGGCATGGGGCACAGCAACTGCTGTGGGAGCGGCGACCGGTGGTGGTGGTTTCCCCGCCACGGTGGCGGGGGGAACGGCCGCGGCGCAGGCACTCGCGGCTGGAGCGGCGGCATCGGAGGCAGCAACGGCGGCGAGAGCGGGGACCCCCGGCAACAGAGTCTTCCCCGCGGCGGCGGCAGGGGGAACGGCCGGGGAGCAGGCACTTGCTGTTGAAGCGACGGTATCAGTGGTGCCACCGGCGGCGGCACCGGCGACGGATGAACTCGAAAGCATGAAAGAAGATCTTGCTGACATACTGAGGCAATGGGGGAAATTGGCGGACAAGAAACCGGCACTGCATGTGCAGCCGGGCCCACCACTTGTGTCGTCAGCAGGCGTGGCTTCAGCAGCGGAAACAACGGTGGGGACGACGACAGGTATTGGTGTTTTCCCCGACTCGTCGATGGGGGGAACGGCCGGGGCGCCGTCAGCCGCAGGAACGGTGGCACTGGCGGTTTCGTCGACCTGCGGCCAGATACCCCCCGCCGTACCAACTGGGGGGGCGATCGCAGTGCCCACATCAGCAGCTACACCGGCACCAGCGGCGCAAGAAGCGGAGGACGCGTGCAATGAGGATGGCTGTTGGTTGGACAATGGTGACGAAGGCGGCAACAGCAACGGCGGCAGCGGCGACGGCAGCTTCGTGGCGTTGTCTGCGGGTGCGGGGCATCCCGGCGCCCATCCGACCGTGTACAATGGTATCTGCGTGGTGCGGGACGATGGGGGGTAATGCCAGGGCTGGACATTCGATCGTGGCTGGAAGGGTGCGGCATGAATCGAGAGGCTACGTGTTCGGGAGCTACGCTACCTGCGAGATGACCGGTGGTTGCACCATGAGTCTACGCGCGATTCAGGCACGTTCGTGATTGTGTTTATTTGGCTATCTATTTTCTGGGTCGATTTTCTTTGTTGAAAGCCATGAGTTTGAGAACTGCGTCGACGTAGGCTGTTGTGTTGCGATGCTCACGAACGAACGTGGTGTTTATGGTCTGTGGTACATGCGTTTTTCATTTGTCAAGGATATGGTTTGCATAGTCTAGGACTTCACCGCGCCGAATGGTGCAGTTGATGTTGTTGGGTCACTGCTAGCACTGCTGTCGAAAATCATGGGGGGGGATGAATGTGATGCTGAGATGCCATGATCTTCGCCGCAGTACAAGCAGAGTTCTAGCGGACGTTCGGGTTTGATTGTTCATTTTGTTCACGTTTTCCGCGTTTTACCTGCGGAAAATGAGGAGAATTCCTCAATTCTTGCTTGTTTGCGATTCCGCGTTTACCTGCGGAGTTTGCCATGAATGTGATGCTGAGATGCCATGAGCTTCGCCGCTGTACAAGCAGAGTTCTAGCGGACGTTCGGGTTTGATTGTTCATTTTGTTCACGTTTTCCGCGTTTTACCTGCGGAAAATGAGGAGAATTCCTCAATTCTTGTTTGTTTGCGATTCCGCATTTACCTGCGGAGTTTGAGGCAACTTCATGATACTTGTCTGATTTCTCATTGCTAGGATAAGAAATACGTTTCTTGTTTATTCGCGATTCCGCGTTTTTCCCGCGGAGTTCGGAGGTAACTTCATGATATTCGTTTGATTTCTCGTTGTTTGGATCCGAGAGTTGTTGCAGCAGGGGGGCTGTTAGCGTTTGTGTTTTGGGAGATGATGCAGCAGGGGGGCTGTTAAACTTTTATGTTTTGGGAGATGATGCAGCAGGGGGGCTGTCAAGAAGTCCATGTCTGGATGTTTGAGAAACGGCATAATCGGCGAAAGTTTCCTCTGGCGTCTTTGAACGCCGGGTTTTTAACGTTTGTCTATTTGTGCCGCATGTATCAGGTATTGATGACTGTTCTGAACGATGTATAGGATTTGACATATTTTGGTAAGACATCGTTGAGGCCTGTGTGCTTCGGAAGCTTATTTCAAATTGGTCAATGAGTTGAAACACAGTTTTGTGCGAGGGTTTCGTTCGAGGTATTTGTTGACGCGTTTTGCCAGAGTTGTCCAGAGTCTTTATGACGTGGCTCTGATGAAATGTTGATCTTTGCTGAGTATTCTTCCAAGGATAATTCTTTGTGTTTGACTGCTTGAGAATGTGGTGACGACATTTTCTCGAGAGGGGTGCTTGTTAAGACTCTCAGTGAAGTTCCATAGTCGTAGGAGGAGTAACCTGAAACTTGATTATTCGATAGATCCGGGAGTTGAGATGATATATTTGTGGATACGAAAGATGAATGGTTTTTAGATTTGTTGCCGTTTTACCTGGCGATATGTACGGAGGATCTCGTATATCGTATCTCGTACCGAGTAGGGGGGCTGTTTGTGCGTGTACTCGGCAGGATACAATTCTCCGAGATCTCCGAGGGGGTTACGGAGATGAGATAGATATGGGTATGATAGACAGACTTGGTGCAGCAGGCTTTGCCTGCTCACGTCTGTCACTCGTTAAACTCTCTAATAAGCAAGGAACTTGAGTCACTCCTTTGTGCAACACGCTCTCGACAAGAGCCCGCGAGCGTGATAACATAGTACACGCGCCGACACCCCAAACACCACGCCGTTGGGATAACCAACAAACAAACAAACAGAACCCAAGACAACGCAACACAAAGCGGGCTCCCTGACCCTGCTCATCCACGTCATCGCTCGGGGGGGGCTGTTGCAATGGTCCAGTCCCGGGGGGGGGGGGGGGCGTACTCATTTGTTGCTTGCCGTAGTCATTTGACCATTGACCACGCGTCCCTTTCGAGACGGAGAACCGTTCCTACACCTACTAGAGACACCACCAACATTTGGGAGCTCTTGACGTTTCTGCCACACACTCCATAAAAATTTCTTGCACATCTTATGCCCGTTCTCTAGGGCCTCTTGTGCCCACCATCTATCCCCAATTATCGCGATCGTTTTTTCGCTGTTGTCTAATTTACCAAACTTGTCCATGTCACACCCTCTCTGTCTCATTTCCTCCTCGAGATCCTCTCTTTCCTTCCTGTACAACTCACAC